TTGTATACCAAGTTAGATGGCTGGCATTTTAGATCTGTGGCATCCTTCTAAATGGCTGTCTACCAAAATGTTGGGTTTGCCTTTACACTTGAAAGAGGTGTTCACAATTTTATCTTTATCTTTTAAAATACAATGCATACACAAATTTTAAGTTCACAACTTAGTTCTAACATATCCTTAACTAGCACATTTATAGTTTCACCCAGTGAAAAACAAATAAAAAGTTTGAGCACAAATTATTTTAATTTTGACTTGAAATTTCAGAATGTGACCTTTCAAAGGTCAAGAAAGGAACCGGAGTCTGATGTTCAACATCTTGACTCTGCAGAAGAGTTTTTTTCTTGCAAGTAGCCACCAGAGTAGGAAGTTAGAAGGCAGAGCCAGGAGGTCAGACATAAGAGTCAAGGAAGTATGAATGACATCATCATCCCTAAGTACCCTTTCAGAAGATAAATGAGCTCTCTCTTATATTACAATGCTAAAGAGCATTAGAAGGTGATATGATATCTAGACAACACATAAGATAAATGCCTCAGAGTACGCTAGAACAGCTTCCCCCCCACGCCCTCCACAAGTACATAAATCCTTTGGTGGTCTCAATAATACAATATGTGGCTGATGAGTATTATATATTGTGGTCAGCTGCTTCTTGACAAAATTCATTTAGATTTAACAAGTACCTTGAACATTATCTAATCTAGTTACTTAAGCCAAGTGACTCAGTGTAACTCTAGATACCCTTTAACTGACAAGGCTCATAACCCTTTTGGGACACAGAGCATATTTATTCCACTAGTTGCTGAATAAAAAGTAAGCAGATGTCAACAGAAGAAGTATCTTATCTTTGTTAAAGCTGGCACAAAATATGTTTGTCATGATAAAATGACACAATATGTTTTCGTCATGATAAAACTTGAAATGCAAGTTTCATGATCTTAATGAATTTCTTCTGAAGGGAATTCATGCCACAAACAAAACATGCAAAGTTGCTGTAATGTTGGTTCAAGGTACATTCTTTCAGAAGCAGATTCAATCTGAGTTTCAGTCTTTGTGCTTCGAAAGCACAGTCATTCCAGTGTGATTTATATAATCTTTCCTACAGTAATATTGGAATATGCAAAGTTGCAACAGACTTCATTACCCAGCCTCCTCTTTTGCTTATGCAAACACCCCTTAGTATTTTCAGGAGGAAAATTTAATTAAAATATTAATTGCATTCCTGTTTCAAAAATTTAAAAAGTAAAAATCCCTCAGTAGAAAACCAACTTCAGTTTCAAATCAAAATGGACTCTCAATCTGTGGTGTGTAGCTGCATGGAGGGCAGAGTATTTAATCACTAAAGTAATCTTTCCATTTTTAAATATTTGCTCAATTGTTATTTTTATAAAGATAAAATGATGCTCATTTGAAATAAAAAGCAAGACAGGAAGACCCTCACTTTAGCTCTAACTAAATGCTGCAAAGTCCTTTATTCTAAACCAAAAGCTGTCAGACTTTTAGCATTAATAGAAGAGTGGATCTTTCTTGACAAATGCCCCCATAAATTAGATATTAGCTTTAGTCAAACTCTGTCTCTCTCAGGAAATATTTCCACTTGCATATTCTATTGGAAGGACCTTACATGATGCCCACTTACTGCTATGAAAATCTAGGCTTCTGAGATGAAGGCACAGAAAAATCTATGTGAACAAATGAATATCTGGAATAACAGACCTTGAGCTTATGCAGAGATTTCTTTTTATAGAATGTGAGTTTCACTCAGTTTTTGATATGTCTGTCTGCTGCTCTGTCCACCTATCTGTCTGTTTATCTATCACCATTGCAGTGGTAACATGCAGTATCAATTGGATTTTAAAAGACATAGATCTTTTATATTAGCTGTCCCTTTTTATAATACCTTTTACAAATTTAATCAATGCATTTTAATATACAATATAGTTTAAGTGCAATATACAATAAATATTTGAGCTTCATCTTAAACATGCTCTAGCCTTTAAATTGTTAAAACTGCAGTGCCCTTTCAATCTACTTACATAATGTCATAAAATATACATTTCAAGGTAAATGAAGTCAGCTACTTCAATTTAGTCCCTCAAACTGGTAGTAAATGAGAGGTTAACACTATGGTGCCAAACCCATTATTGAGTAAATTTAGCACCTTGGACAGCTCTGTAAAATCTTTATTGCTTTCCTGACCTGCTCGTCATGTTCTGTCTATGTGTTCAGTGGCTCTCAGCTCTGATTGAAAGGCAATATATTAGATCCCGAACACAAACATGCTCGGGGGCTGCTTCACTGTGAGCGTAATGACATGGAGGTGAGAACAATTTTCTGGTCACCGCAATCCAAGCACCTTGCAAGGTCTGTTGCTCTAACTTATAGAGGACTTTTGGGGCTCCTTTGTATGTGGAGTGGTAACAGTAGCTTCTATGGTAATTTAAGCAGAGCTGCAAAGGGTTTAAGATGCATTCAGAAAGCAAGAAGTTAATATCTTGAGCATGTGTCTATTAGCATTTTATCGTGTATTTTTAAAGCTAGTTTGTGTCTGTAAGATCTACCATCAGCTCTGGAATAGAAGATACCACTATTTGACACGGGAGTTTTTGTGTAACATCTGCTTTGTATGATCTAAAAATGTCGTAAACAAGAAATGCTTTTATTGTGTGAAAATATTGTTAGAGAAAGTATGAAACAAATTTACAGACTCTGAAAGTGTTGAAAAAATATAACCATTGACTAGCTAGGAAAATTGAATGCTACTTGTCAAACATATTTCAATAAACCATCATGACAATTAGTTTTGTTTACATGCAATATGATATGGCATCAAAGAACTTCCAATGTTTAAGAACTCGAGTATATTTGATATTAGGTAGAGCATCTGTAAGATTCCATGTAATTACCTCATTTTTTAACATGATCTTCAATCTCTTTTTAGATGCATTCTAAGGTTTTTAGCTCAGCATAGCATAAATAACTATGATTAGTCAGGTAAAGCAGAAATGACTATTTAAACTTTCTTTTTTTTAAGTAATTTGGCATAATGACAGCTTACGTTAACAATATTCCAAAGCAGTCTGCAGGCTCTGTATCACATTCTAATTTTCCATCAGTGAAATATACAGTGCAAACAATTTCTATTGAAGTGAAATAAATCCTAGTTTGCAAAGTCAAACACCTGTGCAGTAATTTTCCACCTAAAATCATGGATTGAAAAAGATAACATTTTTCATTAACATCTCTGTTCTTCTCTAGTTTGTATCTTCAGTATGAGGCAAACAGGGCAACTCAGTGTTCTGATGATTCTGGTAAAACAACAAGGACTGATTGTACGAGGGTGTTGTTTGTAGTGTCTGTGTCCATTATTATATTGCTAACTGTTGCGGTCAAGCTACACAAAAAACCCCCCCAAACAACAACCACAACAGGAAGAAAAAGACTGTAGCAACTTAACTCCTCAGAATCTTTCAAATGTAGTGATTTAAAAAAATCCATCAATTATATATTACATCTCACTTCATATGTGGAAAATAATTTAAATGCATGTTCTGAGAGAGGATTGTGTGCAGCAGAAGGCAAGCCTAAATGTTTACTGGGAGTACAAAAATCCTTCATCTCATTTTTGAATTTAGGACATTATATATGTCATAAGTAGTTACTGCAGTATGACAACTATTTTGTCTTATATTATAGAGAATTTAAAATTGAAAAAAATGCTAATATGCATCTAAAAGCTTGTCATTTGAAGAGTTGTTCAAGGATTTTTGAAGGGGTTATGGTGACAGCAAAATGAATGCAATTATATCTCTATTTTCTGATCAGAGTCTACCGTATATGAAAATTGAGCATTACTGTTTCTTTTTGGTATAAAATATGGCTATTGTGTAAAATATTTTAAGTTAAAAAGTTAAAGTTTGTAGAAAACTGTAAAATCCTTAGACCTGGTACTATTTTTGTAAGCTACCTGCAGAAATACACCATGGTGAATAGCATCGTGTTAGTATATTACAGCAATACTTAGGGGAGGAGAATTACAAAAATACATTGTTTTACTCAAAGGACAGTCTTGACTGGTTTTGATCTGGCAGTTGGGAATCTGCTAGATGCTTTGAAAGAATAAGTAAAAAAATGTCTTCTGGGTTAATTTTGCAATGCATTTTTACATTTTTCTATCAAGATTGTTCATAGAGATTTTTTCCACAGTGTAAAATGTAAGAACACAGGAAATGCTATTATTACGTGAACACCAGTTTAAAATACTCTTAAGAAATACTAAATGCAAAGGAACAAATAGGAAAATGGAGAAAAAAAAAATATGCCCAAAATAGAGAACTAAATCCCAGACTGTTTTAAATTCTGCTGTCCATGCAGGGAATTTTTCCAGGAAACACTGCACCATACTGGGCCGTTCTCTCACACTGCATGTGTTTTCCTCTTGTGCATCATTTTATGTACATGGGTCCTACCCTGACCCACCATATCAGGATACAAACCAAAGAGTTGAAAGGTTACATTACCAGTAGCATAGGACTGATTTGGCATCTTTTGAATGTGGCCTGCTGGGTAAGGTCACAATTCCTGCAGTATGCAATTAAGAATAAAATAAACACATTGAAGGGATTCATAACATGCTCTGAATGACATTGATTGCAGTAATCTGGTAAATGACCTCAGGATTGTATTCTGCAATAAACCGATGAGTAGTTTATAGTGCAGATGGTAGAGACAATTGAGTGATGTATTTTATTTTGCAGCACCAATGATTCTCACCTTTTGACTTGATTAAGCGTGTGAGTGAAGAGGATGAACTAGTGGTTTAACACCATTCAGTGGTTGCTGAGAGTTGTTACAATTAAGGTGTACCTGGTGGGGGGAGAAAAAAAAAAAAAAACACAGAACACGGTGCAACTAGTAGAAGAGTATAAAAGATTCTAATATTTGTTTTCCCCCACAAGGAGTTTATTGAACTCAGAGGAATGTATCTGTTTTTATATTGACAGGAAGTAATACTTAAGAGGGCTGCTGATTTAGTAGAAGCACTGTATGGTATGCCACATAATAACCAGGTAAATGCATTCTACTTCAGCAATTCTAAAACATGGCTATTTCTTAGATGTATAGCTAGATCAGAGGCTAAAGGTATGTGATACTACTATGTAAGCCAAGAGTAAATATAGAGGGCAATGTCATATCTGGAGTGGGGTTTAGTTTGCTTGTTTTCTTTTTTAAAGGGTGTGAATTTAGTGCTTGTAAAAGCAACGTGTTATTAACCCTGGAGGCATTTGCCCACTTTCACTAGATACTATATAATATGGGCAATGATAGACATTATGTCTTTCCACCAGTCATTTTTTCAATCTTACCCTAAAGATAGCTTTAAGGTGGAGTAGGTCTAGGCTCCAGCCCCATTCTGCCAGTTGGTGTTGTTATACAGAAGCACAGCTGCTGGGACTGAAACTTCCAACTCTCTTACCACAGATGTCAGGATTTATCATGAAGGCAGCAGATCTTACAAGCATTAGCTATCAGTCAGTCAACTGGTTTAGAAAGAAAAGCATCTTGGTTTTTCCTTTGGACAGGGAAATGTTTCATTTTAATGTGTAAGAAAAGGTTTGTCAGAGTCACATTGGTAACTCTTTTATTCTTTTGTTCCCTTCTTTTCCTCCAGGAAATAATCCTGAAAAGAGCAGCAGATATCGCAGAAGCACTCTACAGTGTCCCCCGCAATCACAACCAGCTCCCTGCCCTTGCTAACACGTCAGTCCATGCAGGAATGATGGGAGTGAATTCCTTTAGCGGTCAACTAGCTGTCAATGTTTCCGAAGCCTCACAAGCCACCAATCAGGGTCAGAAGAAGACTCGTCTTCCTCTCTCTATCAACCTTTTCTGATAAAAGTCGGGGAAACGTGCAGAGCAGTGAAAGAGTGATGGTTCAAAACTGAAGGCTGGGAGCACATTTAGACAGACACCATCCCACACGCGTGCACAACCTTTGAATGACACAATACTGTCATGAGACGGGGCTTTCTTTAGTGAGTTTTGTCCCAATTCAGGGAAAGCACTTCTGCATATATCTAAATAGCTTTTCCTTTGGCACAGAATAACACTTGTATTTGTGTTTAAATCCCACTAATTTTAAAAGTATTTCTGTCAGCTTGAGCATGTACTTAATGTTAAGTACTTGCTTATATATTTTCCTGAGCATGGATGATCTCTCAGTTTGGGCCCTATGTAGCATTTCTTTGTAACACAAAACTATCCCTCGAATACTTGTCTGTTTGATTTGGTTTGGTTTTGCAAGAGATATAATATTGGCACAATATTTTTTTTTCTTTTCTAGATTTAGACTTTTCTAGATTTTGAAACTAGCAAAAAATAGAGATATTTACAAAGACATTTTCAGAGCTTCTCTAATTTTTAAAATAAAGTGTTTTGCACTTCGTATAAAATCAATATTGTTTTAATTCCTGCAGTCAAAAATAAAAAAAATTGTGAAGAACATTTTTGTAAAAACCCTTTGCATTTTCCCCTTTCCTTTGCTCAGCTCAGTTTATTATCCAATTTAAAAATCTATTTTAATGAGAAAGTATTAGAATGAGGCTTTTTTCTAGAAGGGCAGACAAAATTATTTTATGTTACACTAAAAAAAATATAAATTTTTTTTGGATTAAAATATTTTATGGATGTACTGTGTGGTAGGAAGAAAAGTTGGCATTTTTTCTTGTAGGAGTGAAGACACGTTTTATATTTCTGTGCTTCTAGAAACAAATCTTTTTGGATATTTGGATATGAGTTTCCCCAAACATCACTTCCAGAATTAGGTAGAGATTCAAATTTTAACTTTAATTTGATAGTCATTTTCTACCAACATAATGATCAGACCAGGGCAGAAAGACTAAGGGTATCCCACTACTTTGAGAAATATACCCTATGTTTTCTAAAGTGTGCAGTAATCATCTGATTTGAGATGTGTTAAATGAGACTGACATCAGAAGAAACTTAACAAAAACCACATGCTTTTAACATACCTTAAGTCAGTATGGACTCCTCACTTTGAAAATGTAGGTCATGTTTACTTAATTTCCTACAAACAGCTCTTAGAGTGAGTGTTCCTATAACCCAGTGGTAGTCCTTGCTTGAGGGCATGGGTTGCCTGAGGAGCTGTGAAGGCTGTAGCCTCCGTCCTCCCGCCTTGTGCTCCCATCATCAGTGACCTAGGCAGTGAGGGTTCACAATTTGGGTTACCTGGTGGCAGTGGTGGTCAGTCCTGGCCCTTCCCATGCACACCATGGCTGGACTAGGCTGCTGGCTTGGTAGCCCAGAGTTACTTGCTTGTAGCTGCTTGTGTAAGAAACTGTTCTCGGGCTAATACCAATTTCTAAATGTATTCCCTCCCCACAAAAGGTTTTACTCGCAACTCAAGCAGCGTGTCACCTCATGGCTATGTGCCAAGCACCACCCCTCAGCAGACAAATTATAACTCTGTCACAACAAGCATGAATGGCTATGGGAATGCTGGAATGTCAAATTTAGGCGGTTCTCCAACCTTCCTGAATGGATCTGCTGCCAATTCTCCCTATGCCAGTGAGTATTAGATGGCTTTTCTGTATTTTGCACATTTTCATTAGAAGGAGATGGTGACTTTTCTGTGATAATATTTAGTTTCTATTTTGAGCACTTGAAACAGAGCTTGGTCCTTTCTCTCCTCTCCAAGGCACTGAACTTTGAAGCCCTTTGAAGACATTGTTATTGCCAGCAATGCTCTTCTCTGGTTTTATTATCATTATTATTATTATCATTATTATTGTTGTTGTTGTTATTATTTGGGAGTCTCATAAGAGCTTAAAAAGAATCATGTGTCTCATGATTTGGGCTGACAGTTTCAGAACTTACCTTATAGTCTGTAAATAAGAAACACTGTCCTCAATATTGCTAGAAAGCAGGGATGGCGTAAGTGACTTAATGTCTGTTGGAATGGATCAAAAGTTAGTTGTCAGTACACAACTTTTTGTTGCAGGGGATATGAAAGGCAGCAAAGGACACTTGCTGCAGGAAAAATAGTTTTCTCCAGCTGTAAGATACGAAGGGCAGAAAAGTTTACTGTAACAAGACTGACATTTCCATAAGCTGCATGATGATGTTTCCAAGACCTCTGAGCAAATAATAGTTCATAACCTCTATAGAAATTATGAATTACTATCAGACCTAATCTAGATTGCTTATACTCCATTTGCTTTGTAAGTAGGTATTGCATTGACTTCACTGAGAGCTTAGTATTAGTCAGTAAAATGTGAGTTCATGTTTTAGGGTCTGTACAGTGGATGCCACAAAGATGTAAGTCATACAAATTATATATTCCATGGCGGAAAGGGCTTATGGTCTACAGTCCCAAATATGGAAATATTTTTGTGTAGGACTAACTTTCTGCATTTGATATTAAAGGTTCAGTAACCTGTTTAAATATAAGTACAATTCTATTGGTAAAGGCCCATGAACCTCTTCTGCAGCCGCTCCCACAGCTCAGTAGTCCCTATCCACATGAGAAAATTAAATAGGACCTGCGCAATTACTCTGACGTTACTCACGTGGCATAAAGGATTCCACTGACATCTGTAGAGAGTTGCTAGCAGAATCAGGCCAGAAGGTCTTGTCATATAAATAGGTTTATAGGCTGAGACCTTAGCATGGATAGGACAAACAGACTGCTGAACATACCAGGGTTTACACTGCGAATCATAAGTTTAGTGGTGTAGCAGCAATAATGAATTATTTTGAATTGCATTGCTAGAGTTCAGAATTAAAAAGGGGATAGTAACCCTGATTTAAAAAAATACCTCCAAGTCTTCTTAGCTACTGCAAATTTAGAAGAAAATATTTACCCACATAACTAGTACTTATAACCTGGGAATTGCTAACCAGTTATTATTTTTGTACTCTAATAATAATGTAACTTGTAATGTTACAAAGTACCTTACTTATTAAGTTGAATTTACTGTCATAGAATCTGCGCACTCTGAATTCATAATATAACATGATTGATGAGACATCTCTTTTTGGAAGCAGATGCCAGTAATGCATTTAAAATACTCTAGCAGTGTATTATTTCATATTTATGAACGAAGTCCTCTTAGAATAGCACTTCAGTTCCCAGCCCTGGTTCTCTATTCTAGTTATATTTTGGAAGGTTTTCTTGGTAGATCTGTCATTCTGCTAATGCCTAATCCATTGAATCAGAAAAAGCTTCAATCATGACCTGAAAATTAAAAGGTGGCATTCTTAATTAAATCAATAAACTAATTGCTGTATAGTAGCAATTCAATTTAGGCACTTTGATTGCTCTCCCTTAGCAAGTACTTCCAGACATAGAGTGACTTCAGACTAAGATTGTATCTGTCAGACTGTGAAACTTTGAACATTTAATTTCCATTAATTGATTTCCTCACTGTTAACAAATATGATATCAGATTCTCAAATAAGAACTTAAATAGGGTGATTTTTATCTACATAAATGCAAATAAAATAATTCAAAGCCCAGCTGGCAGGAATTTTACTCTATAATATGTAATTATTCATAGCCCCCTCGTGTATATAAGCAGTTTCTAAACAAGAAGAAGAATGAAAGTATGAGATCTTACTACTGGTCCTCTCCTTTTTTTTTTTTTTTTTTTTTCCTGTTGGATAAGAGGGGAAACTGGCAATGATGTTTGAATATAAAAGTAGTTGGTTTTATTTACGTGAAAACAAATTCACTTAAAACCTCAATGATAAATACATGAACCAAATGTATTTATCCCACTATATAGTAAAACAACGATTTAAGGATATATGTATTTAAAAACTGAACATCCTATATAGCAGGTTTGCATTTTGGACAATCAGTTCAGTCCCTAAAAAAAAAGGAGAGCCTTCTGTCTACACTTATCTAGAAAAACTAAAGACTTTCACTTTATTCAGTCTTTTAGTTAAAGGCAGATCTTCAATTGATGTATACCAGAATGGCTTCATTGCTTAGCTATTGCAGCTGAGGTTCCAGTCGATGGCTCTGAATGAGAATGTCGTATTGACTGTATTCAGACAGTGGTCATAGATCCTCTGGGAGAATTATTTGTTTTGACCATTATAAAACAGACTTCCATTTTCAAAATTCTCTATCTCAGGTGAGATATGAAATGCCAACTCCATTCCTCTGCATAAATAAAATGATCACATAAGAAATATGACTGTTTTTCATGTCGTTGAGAATTCCTGGGAAGTCTCCACAGCACAAATTTTCCCAAAGCTGATGGATACAGGGAAGCTGGAGACTGACTTGGTACTAGTAGTTATAACACAGAAAGCATCTGTGGCCATTGTCAGAAAGGTTTAATGGTTTCTCCCATTGGGAGATAAAAGAAAAGGACGATTTCTGTCAGTTATCCACACGTCTTTTTGTGCAACAGACACTGAAAACACCAGTGCCAGGAGACCAAAAGCATAAAAAACTGTCAGAGCAGAACAGCCATCTCACTGGTTGTTTCATGCTGGATGGCCTTCATGTGTGTATATATATATGTGTGTGTGTGTGTGTGTGTGTCCATGTATACATATGTATGTATTCACAGCTTTTGGAATAACTCCATTTAAACCCTAGTTTCAGCAGGGTTTGGGAGAGGAAAGAAACCCAACTGTTTTTGCCGACTTTGGACAAGCAGGTTGACTGAGTCACCACTAAGACCTCTCTACCTTCTGCAAATTTGCTTCAAACCCCATAGGTCTTTCTGGAGCCATCTTGCTACAAGGAAAGCATGGCTTAAAATGCTGGGTTTGGAGGCCAGTTATAAACTCAAACCTTTCCAAGATAAAAATTTCAGATTCAGATTTGTACTTTAACCACTCTCCTTGCCCATCGGTTTTGTAACCCCTGAGTTACCTACACAGTCTGGATTCCCTCTTATCCACCTACACAAAAGCATTACAGATTCGGACTAGGGAAGTGGCTAATGCCAATCACTAGAAAAGTTTGAAACAGGGTGGCAGGACAGGACTGTTGTAAGAATAAGAGTTGCAGTGACAGAGAATTAAGGGAGGGTTTAAGAGCTCCTAGAATTACTGCTCCTGAATGCCTGCAAAACAAAACAAGTGAGTTTTCTGTAGTGATTGATAACACTTTGTGAACAACCAGAAATCTAACTGCAGTAAAGGCCTTGGCCACTTCAAATTAGACCCAGGGTGTCCAAGAAGCAGAATTCTCTTGCTTCTGCAGCCTGCTGATTATCTAATACTAAGGAATGCCTTTTGGGGGGTGTCTTTTTTTCCTCTAGTTGTGCCATCAAGTCCGACAATGGCGTCCTCCACTAGCCTCCCCTCAAACTGTAGCAGTTCCTCTGGGATTTTCTCCTTCTCACCAGCCAACATGGTCTCAGCGGTGAAACAGAAGAGTGCTTTTGCGCCTGTTGTGAGACCGCAAACTTCTCCTCCTCCCACCTGCACCAGCACCAATGGCAATAGCCTGCAAGGTAGGTGAAACCAAGCCTGGAGCATAGATGGCTGCTCTCAAAACCGTGAGTTCCTGGTGCCTTGCGAGGCTCTAAGCGACACTGAGTTGTCACAGGGGACAGAAGACAATGGGGGATCCCTGGTGGTCTCTGTCCTAGTCCTAAAGTTTCCTCCTCTAAAGAGTAACTGAACTCACCACCAGCCCACCTAGTACCATGCACGTGTTTGGCAACCACCCTATCTCTAAAAAACTAATACTGCTGAATTGAGAGGCTGTGTCTTTTAAAGCACAGACCTACTGTTATGATAAAAATGAGTAATATTTCAGCTTACTAATACCATCCTTTTTCTTTCTTTCCTCTCTTATTCCCTGTTGTCGTCCTTTATCAGACCAGTCTTTTGTGGACTCTAGCAAGTACTCCACTGCAGGGTCTCTCCAGGGGCTGGCCTTCTCCTGAAGTACGTCACTCAATCTTCCCTTCCTTTTTTTCCTTTGTCATAGTACACTTGTGCAGAAATCCTTCTGAGAGCAAATAGACTGTTACAGAGCTTGGCACAAACCTTTACGTTTCATAAATAGGACACATTACAAACTAACAGCAGCATTTTCCAGTTTAACTCATACCAGGGCAAACATTAGTTTCCAATGATTAATGTACCTCTGTGCCAATTAATTCCATAAATGGCGCAGGGCCTTTTCAAAGCTTCTTGGTATCAAAGGGCTGCTCCTTTTCTGCATCCCTTCCCCTCTCTTTACAAAGTATTCCAGCATTAGCACCTAAATATGTTTTGAAGCATTGATGCAAGCTGAGGGAGTGACAGATAAAAGCTTGTCAAACTGAGGATGCTGCAAAGACCAGCACTGCCTATTTCATTGTTTGGTTCAGCCTGTTTTACAACACTGTGCCTAAACCTTCCTGTGTAATTACCTCACCGTGCATTAGTGTGCTGAGAGAGACATTTTCATGCTCGCTTAGACTGAGGATTTTCCATAAGCAGATGCAGCCAGCTGCCTCCAACTGTGCCAGAGGTGGGAAAGATTTTGCGGTATGCGATGTACTTCCCCCAGACCTGAGGTCTGTTTTCTTTTCCACGTGTGTGTGCAAATTATCCAAAGAACATCGAGCAGGGAATAAAATCCGTTATTTTTAAAGCCGTATTCAGAAGGAGCTGTGCAGAGCTGGGGGAGGATAGTTCCACATACTCCATATGTCACTCTATGGCCTCTGGAAAGAGAAACGCCAGGCTTGTGGGCATAATGCTGATAGCACCATTAACAGCCAAAAAAAATCTATATGCAAGCAGAGGGGAAGGAATTCATTCATAAAAACTGGGATCTATCGTGACTGAAGGAAAGCATTGTCCTCAGTGTATTTTACACTGATGCACTGGAAGGAGGAATCCTTGCAGATGTACACACACGCACACAGAAATCATGAAAATACTAGGAATATATAAGCAGAACTTGTGTACCTTTGGTCAGGACTTTGTTATAAATACAAACTGCATCAGGAACAAAACTCAACAAAAATTTCAGATAAGCTGTAGTGTTTAGGAGATTAATTTTTGCATGTTTTAAAAAATTTGGCACTACCGACATGCTACAAATTTTAAAGGCAACTGCTAAAAACGTTTCACCTCTGAATTAAAAAAAATAAAAAAGGAGCTAAGAGTTGACTTCTAGAAGCTTTTGAACATGTTAATGTTTTTTTCTTCTCTTCACCTTGTCCAAACTTGCTGTTGCAGGTGGAGAGAAAAAGCGAGTAACAGGAGAAAGCTTTTTCAGGCACTGTTTTTCCTTTCACAAGACATGGAATTCTCAGATTCCACATACTCAGTTATGAAAAGCAATTATGGAACGAGCTGAGGGCACCAGACACAACTGGGGCTTGCTGATTGCCTCCTCATTATGTCACATCCACATCTGTAATGCCCAGGAACCACACAGATCTGAGTGTTTCCCCTAATTTTTATTTAGCAATTCAGTTTTCATAATAGGAATGAAACACCAAGAGATGGTTCATTTCTAGGTCATCACTGAACTTCTTGGTGAGTTAAAGACACACAGCCTTTAGTCCCATGCCTTCTGACACCACCTGAGGCTTGTAATAGTCACTCAGAAATGCACTGCCTGTTGTGCCTTATTGCTTAAATAAACAACTATGTATAAGGAGGCTGTCTTATCTCTCTTGGGCTTCTGGATACATCAGAAAGCAATCAAGCTTTCCTTATGTAGCTTAGATATCAGCAGAACTCACTAAAACAACAACTAGGCTTATCTGTTGTTCTCTTTGCCATGCAATTTTGTAAAACTCAAAATACATTATTTCTGTAATTTGCTAGCAGCAAATACGAATTAGTATATGATAGAAGAAATAGTGCCCATTGGTGGGAGTTTTTCTACTCTGTGCTGTCCCTTTTTGGAGGTGGTGTGATCTCATACCTACACTGTTTCCCACTGATAGCTCTGTTTTCCGGCTCAATAACATGCTACAGCTGAGAGAATTTGCATGACTAGATGTAGCACTTATGGAATAAAAGTAGAGTGATATAAATGAAGACTTGGAAAGAATGGAAATATCAAAGCTTTTAGGCAGAAAAGATATCATTTGCCATTTGCCTTGTAATTTAATTCAGAATTTCAGAGCTCTTCAAAAACAATAATGCTTTGAAAAAAAAGAAATGAGATCTGCATCTGTACCGTTTATTTCCAATGGCAAAATGTGCATGGCTGATATGTAACTACAGGGAAATGTTTGAGCCATAAAGGGAGGAGTTCCAATTATGTCACCTTTGTTTGGGCTCTTACCCAGGGTAGACAGCTGTGCTGTCCCAAGAGGGAGACTATTCTCGACCACTTTTTGATGAAATTGATTTGGTTCTGATGAATCTTTTAGCTTGAGAATTTCTTGTTGGAATAATATTTTGACATTTGCTGAAGTATAGGTAATTTTTCTAAAGCAAAACATCTTGTTTTAAAGTTTCACTAAATTTAGAATTTAGAAAGGGCTGAAAAGGACAAAAAAGGCTAAAGTAGTATGCACAGAGGGTTAATTATCCATCTGACTCTACCCAGTTGCACTCATCACATATCGGAAGACTCTACCCTTTCCCGTCTCCTCAACTCCTTGCTTATCTGAGCTATAAAGGAGGGAGGACAGTTGTCAGTATTGCTTTTCTCTGTGCTGTAACATACGGCACTGATGTCCAAGCACTGCAGTCCCACCCCTATATTCTGCTAAACAGCTGCCATCCAGAAATCTCAAAGTGCTTTACTGATAGAGATAAAAATTGTTATCTTCAAGTAAGAAACAGAAACAAATCAAATTGCTTGATGTAATACAATGAGCTAGAAGGAGAACTGGGACAAAACCTGTGTCTGAGGTCCATGCCCACGTGAGTCTTTCATATATTCACATAGGGAAAAATCACACTCTCACCCTTAGCTGCAAGTGGCTGCCTTGTAGAGCTGCCACAGCAGAATTACAGTCTAGCTGACTGTCCATCACTGTCAATACCTATTTTATTGATGCCAAAGAGGTCTGTGATTCAAGGTCCGTAACCTGGCTCACATGTAAAGATCCTCATATCTGCTGGAAAGACAACACAGCTAAACATACACAGTCCAGGAGGTTCCTGCAGAGCATTGATGATAACTTTTTGACACAGGTGGTGGAGGAGCCAACGAGGAGAGGTGCTCCGCTGGACCTTGTACTAACAAACAAAGAAGGACTGGTTGGGGATGTGAAGGTTGGGGGCAGCCTTGGCTACAGTGACCATAAGATGGTGGAGTTCAGGATCCTGCCTGGAGGAAGCAGGGCAATAAGTAGGATTACTACCCTGGGCTTCAGGAGAGCTAACTTTGGCCTCTTCAGGGACCTACTTGGAGGAGTCCCATCTGTTAGGGCTGTGGAAGGTAGGGGGACCCAAAAGAGTTGGTTAATATTCAAGCACCACTCCCTCCAAGCTGAAGATCAGTGCATCCCTATCAGTAAGAAATCAAGGAAAGGGGGCAGGAGACCTGCATGGATGAGCAAGGAGCTTCTAGCAAAATTCAAATGGAAGAAGGAACTTTAAGGAATGTGGAGAAAGGCACAGGCCACTTAGGAGGAATATAGGAATGTTGTCAGAGTATGCAGGGATGTGATGAGGAAGGCTAAGGTCCGCTTGGAATTAAATCTGGCAATGGATGTCAATCAAAGAGCACAAGAAGGGCTTCTTCAAGTGTATCAGTAGCAAAAGGAAGACTAGGGAAAATGTGGGCTCTCTGTTGAACAAGGCGGGTGCCCTGATGACAGAGGATACAGAGAAGGCGGAATTACAGAATGCCTTCTTTGCTTCAGTGTTTACTACTAAGGCATGCCCTCAGGAATTCCAGACCCTGGAGGTAAGAGAGGAAACTTGGAGAAGGGAAAGCTTTCCCTTGGTCAAGGAGGATCAGGTTAGAGATCATTTAGGCAAACCAGACGCTCACAAATCCATGGGCCCTGACAGGATGCACCCACGAGTGCTGACAGAGCAGGCAGATACTGTTTCTAAGCCACTCTCCATCACCTTTGAAAGGTCATGGAGAGCAGGAGAGGTGCCTAAGGACTGAAGGAAAGCCAATGTCACTCCGGTCTTCAAAAAGGGCAAGAAGGAGGACCCAGGGAACTACAGGCCAGTCAGCCTCATCTCCATCCCTGGAAGAGTGGTGGAGCACCTCATTCTGGATGTCATCTTTAAGCATGCGGAGGTAAAGAATGTTATCAGGAATAGTCAACATGGATTCACCAAGGGGAAGTCATGGTTGACCAATCTGATAGCCTTCTGTGATGGCACAGCTAGCTGGGTAGAAGAGGGGAGAGCAGTGGATGTTGTCTGTCTTGACTTCAACAAGGATTTTGACACTGTCTCCCATAACAGCCTCATAGGTGAGGTCAGGAGGTGTGGGTTAGATGAGTGGACAGTGAGGTGGATTGAGAACTGGCTGAATGGCAGAGGATTGTGATCAGCGGCGCAGAGTGTAATTGGAGCCCTGTAGCTAGCAGTGTTCCCTGGGGATCAATTCTGGGTCTAGTCTTGTTTAACTTATTCATCAATGGCCTGGATGAAGGCACAGAGTGTACCCTCAGCAAGGTCACTGATGATACAAAACTGGGAGGAGTGGCTGATCCAGTGGAAGGTTGTGCTGCCATTCAGCGAGACATGGACAGACTGGAGAGTTGGTCAGAGAGGAACCTGGTGAAGTTCAACAAAAGCAAGTGTAGGGTCTTGCACCTAGGGAGAAATAACCCCATGCACCAGTACAGGCTGGGGGTTGACCTGCTGGAGAGCAGCTTGGCCGAGAAGGACCTGGGAGTCTGGTGGACAAGTTGACCATGAGCCAGCAATGTGCCCTCATGGCCAAGAAGGCCGATAGTATCTTGGGATGCATTAGGAAGATCATGGCCAGCAGGTCGAGGGAGGTTATCCTCCCCCTCTACTGTGCCCTGGTGAGGCCAAATCTGGCGGGCTGTGTCCAGTTAGTGCTGTGTCCAGTTCTGGGCTCGCCAATTCAAGAAAGACAAGGAACTATTGGAGAGAGCCCAGTGGAGGGCAATGAAGATGGAGAGGGGACCGGGATATCTGCCTTACGAGGAAAGGCTGAGGGAAGTGGGTCTGTTCAGCCTGGAGAAGAGAAGACTGAGAGGAGACCTCATCAATGCTTATAAATACCTTAAGGGCAGGCGGCAAGAGGATGGAGCCAGACACTTTTCAGTGGTGCCCAGAGACAGGTTAAGGGGCAGCAGCCACAAATTGAAACTCAGGAAGTTCCAGCTGAGCATGAGGGAAAACTTCTGTACTTTGAGGGTGGCAAGGACC